CCGGGCAGCCTGGCGGGACGGTGCGTACACATGCGTGCGTGCAGTCTATACACCATGCCAGAGCTGGGGGGAGCAGCTTCACCCTCTGCCCCTTTCTGAGCTGCCTGCACTGGAGCAAAGTCCAGCCGAGGCTGCATCCCTGGGCTGGCAGCCGGTCAAGGCCACGGCCAGAGCCCAGCTGTGCGCCCCCCCGCGCTGGGCACCGTCCCTGGCAGGCAGCCATGGCACATCGGGAGAAGAGACCCAGCACCTCGCTGCCCCCAGCCCTACGGTGCCAGCACCTGCCCAGGGCACAGGCTCATGTGGCCTTGCCAGGGCCTCTCCAGGGTCCCCAGGACCAGGCCGGCTCTGCCCCGTGCGGGCTGCTTGGAGCCAGACCAGGCTCCATGGCAGGGTCTCCACGAGGTCGGGGCTCCGCCATGCGCCCCTGGCCCGAGGGGGGCAGCACTGGAGGGGCTGAGCCAGTCCCTGCCCCGCACCATGGCTGCCCCGGCTCCGCCGTGCCCCCTGCCCCGCGCTCACCTCGGAAGGGGACCTGGGCGTAGAGGCGCAGGTTGTCCTCCAGCCGGGCGTAGTCCACGCTGCCCTGGGCCGTGAAGGGGGTGGCCAGGGGCGGGTAGATGCCCCGCAGGTCCAACCTGGGCGCCGGCGTGGTGGGGGCGGTGCTCAGCGCCCTGCCCAGCACCCCGGGGCGCCAACCTCGGGCCCCCGGCCGCAGCAGGGCCATGAGTTCCATGGCAGGACTGAGCTCCCAGCTGCTGCCCAGGCCGTTAATGATTGACACGGCTCGTTAGGGATTCGCTGCTCCCTGGCGGTGTGGCCTGGGGGTGGCTCGGGGAGCAAGCGGGGGGGCCTCTGGCCACCAGTGCTGAGCGCCCCTGGGGCTGCGACCACGCCTGGTGTGACCCTGCTCCCGGATCAGCCCCTTCCTGCCCCCCCGGGGCTGCCGGCTGGAGATACCCAAGTCCTACAAGAGCCCCCCCCGACCCATCCTGGGTGTCCTCACCTCCCGCATAGTCGCAGGGCAGGCAGGGAACCACGGGGTCGCATCCAGTCCTGAGGCAGGATCAGCCCCGTCCAAACCAGCCCAGACAAACCCCGTGTCCGAATTTGGAGACACACATCACAGTCGCCCCCAACACGGCCCCAGGCATCACCCCCACCCCTGCCCCCGGGATACAGGGGGGCCGTAGCCGCCAACATCCTGCTGCTGCTGGGGAGGGTCCATGGGCACTGCAGAGCCCAGGCCCAGGCCGTGCCCCCGCTGCAGAGGAAGGACCCCCCCCCAGTGCAACCTGTCTGAGCAGGGGGAAATCCCTTCCTGCCCGAGCGCGGGGGCAAGACCCTCCCGCCAGGACCCTGCGGGGTTGGTGCCAGCAGGAGCACTGGCCCAGCCCAGGCCCAGGCGCGCACAGTCCTGGACCCGCTGCTGTCCATCACTGCGTTTATTGCCGGAGCCGAACCCCGAGAGAGCCCTGCTGGGGCCTGCGCCCGCCCTCACACCGGCGCCTCCGTCTCCACCTCCGCCCTGCTCTGCTCCGGGGTCTCCAGCGCCTGCCGCGTGTCCGTCTGCCACAGCTGCACTAGGTCCATGGGGGTCTTCCCGGCCTGCGGGGCAGGGGCAGCGGGTGAGGGCAGCCTGGCATGGCCTGACCCCGTGTCTCCGGTGTGGGACTTACCAGGTTCTTGGCCAGCATGTCGGCCCCGTAGAGTAGCAGCATCTTGATGATTTTGTAGCGGTTCAGCCGCGCTGCGTCATGCAGGGCCGTGTCCCCCTCCTGCGGCCACGGGCACCCACGTCACCAGCCAGCGGGGCCCGGTGGCCCCCAGACCTGGGCACAGCTCCCACCCACCCTCCCGCCTGCATGCCCGGGCCACAGAGCAGGTGCAGCACCTACCCTGTCCACAGCATTGATGGCCACGCCGACGTGGATGAGGTGCTCTGCGATGTCGGCGTGGCCGGTGCGTGTGGCCACGTGCAGTGGGGTGCTCAGGAGCTGGGGAGATTGGGGGGCAGGGGAGTTAGCTCCCAAAAGGATCCACGGGGGTGGCGCCTGCCTGCACCCCCACCCCTGCATTCACCTTGTCCACGAGGTTGAGGTTGGCGCCGTGCTCCTGCAGCAGCTTCACCACGGCCAAGTGTCCCCCGCGGCAGGCCCAGTGCAGGGCCGTGCAGTCCAGCTGCCCAGAGACGCCCCCCGTCAGGGCCAGGCCAGCCCCCGCCGGGCCACGTCTCACAGCCCCCACCTGTCCCACCACCTCCCCCTGCCCCACCCACACCCAGCACCCCATGCCCCAGCACTGCAAAAAGGGTGACCAGCCCCCTGATTGGCTGCTTTTCCACTAGGGGCAGGGCAGAGGGGATGGGCAGCCAATCAGACTGCAGCAGAGCTCCTCCTCCACCTTTGGGGGCTCTGGGCTCACCCCCCTAAACCCCCAAGTGCTTCCTCCAGGTGCCCTCCCCAGACCCGTGGCAGGGACAGGGGGCTGCCCCCGTCTCACCCGGTCCTGGAAGTCCACAGTGGCGCCATGATCCAGCAGCTTCGCCAGGATCTCGACATGCCCCTCCAGCGAGGCCCGGTGCAGCGCCGTGCGGTGGAACTGGCCCGGGGGCAGCACCACCATCACTGGGCAGCCCCTCCACTCTCCCCACCCGAGGGGCTGCGCCCCCCAGCCTGCACTAGGCACCTGCAGACCCCTCCCCAGCACCCAGGGGCAGGGGCCAACCTCAGCCCCACCGGGCAGAGCAGCTCTGCTGGGTCCGCAAGGGCTGGATGGACAGCAGCATTGCCAGCCCAGCCCAGCCCAGCTGGCGCATCGTCCCTCCACCCAGCTCCCAGGTGCCCCGGTGCTGCCTCATGGGGGGCCCAGGATGGGCTGGGGGGCACCACCTCATCGCAGGTGTCCGGGAAGCCGCCGTCAGCCAGGAATTTCTCGACAAGGCGGAGCTGGCCCTGCACGGCCGCCCGCAGGAACATCTCTGGTGCCACCGCGGCCTCCTGCCAGGCAGGGGGATATGGGACTCCTGCACCCCAGGACCCC